GCTGCAGACCTTGAACGAGTCTTGGGGTCGCAAATGTTTTCGGGAACATCTCGCGGCTCGAAGTGCGCTGTTAATTTTTATCAGCTGTCGCGGCCGCCTGCTTAGGCTTCGCTGCGCAATTTCATTTAAAGCAAAGTTTTGCGCCATAAAAGTCGCATATTGCCAACTTCTTTTTTATGATTTGTCTTGTCTTGTCTTGTCATGGCTTGGGCCTGCTCTTGGTCTTGCTCTAGGTCTTGGTTGTGGTGGTATCCTGTCTCTGCCCGTTGTGCCAAGCAATTGAATCCATTCGCAATGCTTTACGCTCGCCTATTTCATAATCAAATACATAACTTTATTAATGCCCGCCCAGACATGGGCAAACAGCATAAAAAGTTCCTTACAAAAATTTGCTTAGATTGGCGAAACAATAAATTTTCCATTGTCTAAGGATCGGAAGACAACCCTCGATGCCATTTGGGGAGTGCGCGAATGCTGGCGCATAAATAAAAATATAATTGAGTTACCAGGCCGAGTTGTCCTCCACGAAGGCGGGGAATGAATCTCTATTGGTTTTTTTTTTTTTTTTTTTTTTTTGGCCAAAAGACTCCCTCTCTCTCTCTCTCGCTCTCTCGCTCGCTCTCTCTTCTGCTGGCCAACTAAATTAGCTGGCATTAATTGAGCAATCGGTGAGGGCACGCACACACTCAATTTTTACAACATTTCGAATCGTTGGGCGGCACTTAGTGCCCCGAGCTTTAATTGATTAAACAGCTCGTCAGCAATTGCTGCAATTGCATTGCATTCAATTCACAATTTAATTGCATTGGCAAAACTTTCGTGACAAGCAACTAATTGCCAGGGCAACTTTTATCAAATCTCCGCCACAAAACTAAATTAAAATTTATTATAAAATATGCAGGCGGTACACAGATGAAAAAAACAGTTCAGTTTTTCATATACACCAGTTGCAAAGTTTTAAATGATCCCAGCGCATACGAGATTTTGCGAAAGTTTAATTGCAAATATTATTTACTGTTTTCATAATTGTTTGCAACTTTTGATTGGTAATACATAATGCGGGCCGTTCGGTTGGCTTGATAAATGTTGCATTTGCGATATGCTATACTATTGAATATGATATATTTTAGCTTATTTTAAAGGCTGTTGGTATATTATAGCTATAGTATGAATTTCAATTTACTGCAATTTAGTTTTGTTGCTTGATTTCTGTTAGCTTCTTTCTTTCATTAAAATTTTCTGTTTTTTTTTTTTTTTTTTTTTTTTTATTTTTTTTTATTTATTTTGTTTTTTTTTTTTTTTTGTATTTTTTGTGAGCTACTCTTTCATTCTTACTTACTACTCGCTACTTTTTGTTTTCAATTTCTTCTCCTGTCTCTTTTACACTCTTTAACTAGCTCTAGGTCTGTACAGTCTACCCTTTAATCACTCTACGTAACTCGCTTCTCTCTCAACTTTCATCCTCTTTGTATTTCTCAACGATCTGCTTTTACATACATCAGATTAATGTACGCACAGATTGACATATATCTCGTTCGTTTGTTATAGCTGCTCAGTCGTCTCTTAAATCTATTTTATGTTGGCTTTCTTTTATTTGATTTTTGCTCCCAGGTATTGCAGCTAGCACCTGCCCATCAATCACTTAGCCATACAAAAATGCCACTGCATACAAATCGCAATTAATTTACCTATTCGTGTATGTCCGCTTGGCTTGACTGTGTGCACGTGCTTGTATTCTATATTGGTCTGGCTTTCTCTCTCTGTCTCTTTCTCGCTCTGTGTGTGTGTGTGTGTGTGTGGGGCTGATGCCCAGCGCTTTTCCAGTGGATACTGGCCAAGGCCAGCTACTCTGTTTGCATACGGAGAGGGACTGTGTGGATCGTGAGGCCGCTGAAGCCACAGTTGCAGGCTGCACGTCATCGCATCGCATGGCATCGCATCGCAGTGAGGCTCAGAGCAGTTTGTCGGCATGTTTGCTTGCATGTCAAATTCTCATTTCATTGAAATTGACAAATATTGACTAAGAACTTGGGTGCAATCAACGCTGGCGCTTGTCGCCGACAAATGGGCGTGGCAGATGCGAGTCTGCTCGAAAGTGAAACTCGATTTGGCAAATGTAACTTTCAGTTGACTTTAAGAATTCTGTGCCCATAGACGTCTCTGAGGGAGAGAGAGAGAGAGAGAGAGAGAGAGAGAGAGAGAATGAAAATGTCGTCGCCAGGACAACAGACAACATCACAAATTGCTGCGCATCTTTGGCAGGCCAATAAACTAAAATGTTAAACGGCTACAGAAACCGAGCCGCATTAAGCTGAAGCTGAGCACCTGAATGGTGGCAAGTCTTTGCTCTTTGATGCAAAACATTTTGCTTTTGTGTTGCAAACAAAACACCTGGGGAGCGAGTCAAAAAACAATTTTCGCTCATTATCATTTCAGCATGCTGTATGCCCAAGTGTTTCAGATTGTTCAAAAGAGCTAGACAGTGAATAAGTTAGAGTGAAGAAGAGGCTAAGGCTATAGCCTGAGACAGAGAGAGACAGGTAGATGCTGGCACGACGGAAAGGGAGCGCATGCTGATGAAGAAGTTTACAACACATTGTTGCTGCCATTGCCATTGCCAGTGCTCCTGCTGCTGCTCCTGCTGCTGCTGCTGCTGCTGCTGCTGCCTCTGTTTTGGCCTTGTTGTAGTTGCTCATAAATGCGCCATGAATAAATTAACTCGCTGAAAAGCAAAAGGCAGTTACAGCGTTTGGATTTCAAGCGAGTGATAATAATAATTGAGGCAGCAGCTACGGCAGCACACACACCCACACCCACACACACTTTGTCTGTGTCATATAATAACAGTTTTGAAAATTTACACTGTAAGAAATGTAGCTGGGAATAAATCTAGCAGGAATGCTTCAAGTAAGCCAGATTAAGTTTAGTATCATATCATCTTTATAATGCTTTATCACTCTCCATGTCACTCTCTCCCTGTCTAAGGTTTTTTTTTACTGCCGGTCTCTTTCTGTGTTTCTCCCTCTCTCTCCTTTGTTACTCGTATATTTGTTGTTTCTCTGCTCTCATTTGTTTGCTATACCTAATACAACTCCATAGCAGCTCATAACCTAGCAACCGTTTCGCTTGCCACTTACAATACAACATTTCAAATAAATATAAACCTACAGCTCGCGATTCTTATATTTATTTGAATAGAGTTGTGCTTCATTTACCCAATCGAACTGTCCTCAATATGATTGGCGCTCGGACTACGCGGCAAGGCTCAGCAATCAATGCTAAGCCGCGAATATCTCGTAGCGTGAGGCATCCGTGCTTCACGCTGAAGCGCCCGTTCGTCTTTCAGGTGCGCAAGTCCCTTGTGGAGTATGTGGACGAGGATCTGCTGAGCATGAACACGTCGGTGTTCTATCAGCGCATCTTCATATTGGCCAAGAATGTGGAGCAGAAGCGCGAAAGTGAGCTGCAGCCAGCAGAGGACAAGGCCGACTTAGCTCAATCAAATGTGGATGTAGATGCAACGTACACAGCTGAGGGCATGGCGGATGAGGATCAACACTACTCGGAGGTGGCCACGCCGGAAGTGCCGGAGAAGGCCCAGATGCATCATGGGTCTGGTGCTGGAGCTCACTTGTCAGTTACAATAAAAGATGAAATTGAAACTGAAGCGGAAACCTTAACCCACACATTTCGATTCGATAAGGAAGAAATTGCGGACGATGATGTAGAAGAAGAAGAGCAGCCGGAAGCTGAGCCAGAAATAGTTGAAAAGCCCAAGGACGTTTTCAATTATTTTACTGAAATGCTACAGGAGCTTCACGCAAAATGTCGCGAATTGATCTACTCACACGATCCCCTGTGCGGACTGGTTCTCTATATGAATGACTACACCATGATGATGCTGGAAAGCTGCGAGGATATGATAGGCATCTTCTGCGCGAAACTCTTGGAACGTATTCCTGAATATTGGCAAAATCATCGAGTCTTCCATATTGAAGATCACATCAAAGAGGTGAGTAGAGTCCAACGAAATACTTGAATTGCGGAATATCTCTGCTAACTCTGTCTCTACCCAGCTCTACACTAGGCAACTCGTGTTCAGGCGCATACCAGCTGCCTTTCTCAATGAAAAGTTTCCGCCCTCTACGCCCACGGACGAGTACCTGATGGGCAAACAGCATTTGATAATCAAGGATAAATTGTTCACTATATGTTCCCTGATCAGCGAGAGTATGAACCCACCCAAATCAGCGACATCCCAGCAGGACTCATCTCTAAAAACAGAGGGCACTGAGATTGACGAAATGGAGGGTGAAAGCGAAGAAGAAACCGTGCAACAAAGAACTCAGCCGCTCAGTCAAATGCAACGTCTAACTGTCGCAGGCTCAGAGATGTTGCCAACGGATATCTTTCGAAAATGGCTGCCGGAAATACAGCGCATTGAGCTAGTATTGGCCTCGACACGGTTCTACTATACGCTGGAGGAGTTCTGTGGTCTGTATGGCCAGGTGCCATATAGACCCGATGATGACGGCTCATTCTGGCCCATACAGAACAACTATACACCGGCAAACATCTACAGGCGTACACAGTTTGACATTAATCTGACCTTTGCGGAATATGCGGCCGATATGCATCGTCGTCTGCAGGAGGAGCAGGAGAAGCACAAGGCTGAGCTGGAGGCAGCTGCTGAAGCTGAGGCACAGGCCGCGGCACAGGCGCAGCCACAGGAAAAGCCACAGAAACCAAAAGAAGAGGAGGAGCCAGAGGAATAATATTCTTCATATATCATTAATTATTGTTTGTTCAGTTTTTAATAAAATTTCGTTCAGTGTAGACATCAACATTGAATATTACCAGAACACAGTTACTGGCGTTTTTATCTACCGAAACTCGCAATGTTAAGCCGGAGTACGGTTTGACTGAGCTACTTCCTACTGAACCTAGTTTCTACTTGCTTGACTTCTATGAAGTCAATAATAAACAGTTCATAACCTAGCAACCGTGTTGCTTTACATTTACTAGACAACACTTCACACACATACAATATAGTCCTGTGGACACATACAATAAAATCCTATAGGGAAATAGATTAGTATATACACTTTTACACCCAGCAGAGTTGTCCTCAATATGATTGGCGCTAGGAATACGCGACGAACCTCAGCATTCAATCCCAAGTTGGGACAATCTCGTAGTGTGAGGCGCCCGTGCTTTACGCTAAAGCGTCCGTTCGTCTTTCAGGTGCGCAAGTCCCTTGTGGAGTATGTGGACGAGAACCTGCTGAAAATGAGCACGTCGGTGTTCTATCAGCGCATTTTCATATTGGCCAAGAATGTGGAGCAAAAGCGGGAAAGTGAGCTGAAGCCAGTGGAGGTCAAGGCCGAATCGCCATATGCGATGGCAGATACGACGCGCGCTGCTGAGGGCGTGGCCGAAGAGGATCAACACTACTCGGAGGTGGCCACGCCGGATGTACCAAATGTGACGGACGCGCCGGAGGCGACGGAGGTGCCGCTGGTAAACAAGGACCCTGCTGCTCCTACAGATGGGGCTCACATGACAGTTAAAATTAAAGAAGAAATTGAAACTGAAGCTGAAACCTTAACCCACACATTTCGATTCGATGAGCATTTGTATGGGGAAGATGATGAAGAGACAGAAAACACTGAAGCTGAACCAGAAATAGTGGAACAGCCCAAGGACGTTTTTAATTATTTTACCGAAATGCTACAGGAACTTCACGCAAAATGTCGCGAATTGATCTACTCACACGATCCCCTGTGCGGACTGGTTCTCTATATGAATGACTACACCATGATGATGCTGGAAAGCTGCGAGGATATGATAGGCATCTTCTGCGCGAAACTCTTGGAACGTATTCCTGAATATTGGCAAAATCATCGAGTCTTCCATATTGAAGATCACATTAAAAAGGTGAGTCGGAACGAAGTAGAGGAAATACGGAATATACATTCTAATTTTGCCTCTACCCAGCTCTACACTAGGCAACTCGTGTTCAGGCGTATACCAGCTGCTTTTCTCAACGAGAAGTTTCCGCCTTCGACGCCCACGGACGAATACCTGATGGGCAAACAGCATTTGATAATTAAGGATAAATTGTTTACCATATGCTCTCTGATCAGCGAGAGTATGGAGCCAATCGATTTTGATTCGTCCCAGCTAGACTCGTCTCTCCAAACAGAGGGGACTGAGTTTGATGAAATGGAGGCTGAAAGCGAAGAGGATCTTCCGCAACAGAGAAGTCAGCCACTCAGTCAAATACAACGTCTAACTGTCGCAGGTTCAGAGACGTTGCCAACGGATATCTTTCGAAAATGGCTGCCGGAAATACAGCGCATTGAGCTAGTATTAGCCTCGACACGGTTCTACTATACGCTGGAGGAGTTTTGTGGTCTCTATGGCCAGGTGCCGTATAGACCCGATGATGACGGTGCTTTTTGGCCCATACAGAACAACTATACACCGGCAAACATCTACAGGCGTACACAGTTTGACATTAATCTGACCTTTGCGGAATATGCGGCCGATATGAATCGTCGCTTGCAGGAGGAGCAGGAGAAGCACAAGGCTGAGCAGGAGGCAGCTGCTGAAGCTGAGGCACTCGCCGCTGCGCAGGCGAAGCCACAGGCTCAAAAGGCACAGAAGGCCAAAGTGGAGGAGGAGCCAGAGGAATAATATTTTCAGTTTCGATATTATTAGTTCGTTCATTCGTTCGTAGCATGAACTTTCGTTCAGTGTAGATGTCGACATTGGATATGGAGTAGCTGTTGCTGTGTTATCTACCGAAACTCGCGTTCGGTTACAATATTCTCGCTCTCGTGCACATGAGTGCATTCAGTGTAAAGACGGTGGGCGGTTCCACTGAAAGACGGCGAGGTGGCGGTGCGGTGGTTTGGCTGAACTACAGCTGGTGGCTCGTGGTTGGTGGCTGGTGGCTGCGGCTGCGGCTGTAAACGCTGCTTACTTGTTTTGGTTTGCCACTTGAATGGGTCGACTCTGTTAACATAAACATAAATTTGTGCGCATCCTTAAGAAGACACACATGCACATTAATATACATGCGTGTGTGTGTGAGGGTGTGGGTGTGTGTGTGTGGGGGTGGAGGAGGAGTTGTGGGCTTTTAACATAAACCACAACAGACGCCAGCTGTCAGATGTAATACCGTTAGCTTGCAGCTGTCAAAAGCTGTTGCTGTCATTTTAAGTCACTTGACAGTTCGCACACACACACATACACTCTCACGCACACCATATAAACACACATAATTATAGCTGCTCATCAACTGGATTTGCCTTTGCAAAACAGAGCGAGGACTTCCTAACATTTAGCTTAAAGCCTGTTGGAATTGGGTTTTTAAATTCAAAGTTCAGTGATTCTTCCTCTTTTTTTTTTTTTTTTTTTTTTTTTTTCACCGTAGCAAATGTGTGTGAAAACACATTTGTATATGAGATTAGTTGGTTTGGCTTTTCAGACTGCAAATTTGAAATAAAGCGTGAAATGAAATGAAAAGCGTGTTTAGAAATTGAGCTAAAAAGTTAATTAAACTTCTAGGTGAAGTGCAAGTTGTTTGACACGCACACGAGCTGCCAGCCGGCTGCTGCAGGACATGCGCTGACAAGGACACAATTCAATCAAGCGCCACAGCAACAGCAATAGTAAAAGCAGCAGCAGCAGCAGCAGCAAAGAGTGTCGGCGCATAAACAAGGACATTGCACTCCAGGGTGCTCGCTCAGCGCAAGAGATGAAGAGGACGACAGCCTGTGCGTGTGTGTGTGTGTGTGTGTGTGCGGCAGCGAGAGCAAAGCCAAACATTTGCCACTGCAATTTTCATAAACTGCCAGGCAACAGCAACAGCAGCAACAGCTACATGGCACAGCAGAGACAATGGCGATAAGCCGCTGCAGTCCAGAGCGAAAGGACGAAAGTGCATGTTGCCACCACGTGGCCCACAACTTGAGGCGCAAACTCATAAATTACAAGAGTAGAGCCAGAAAAAAGCAGCTCAAATGACTTTTGGCTGTTGGTGTGAACGTGTATATGGGTGTGTCTCTGTCTGTGTGTGTGTGTCTGTGTATGTGTGTGCTCTGTCCAAAAGTGAAACAGTTTGCAGTAGTCACTTTAGGGGCGCTTGGGCGTGGCCAAGTTTAGCGCAGCGTTGGCCATGCGAGCCATGTTGTCTGGCACGCCAAAGGCCAGGCATAATTCGAGCCAAACTCAATTTGTTTGTAATGTTTTAGACAACAGCAGCGTCAGCGCTACAACAACAACTAAATTATATATATATATATATATCCAAATATATATACCGCAAAAACAATTTTTGCGCAACTTTGCAGCGCGCTAAACGAATTTGAGCATTTTTGCTGCCACCGAAACAGAAAACGAAATAAAGTGAAGAACCAGACAGCGACGGCATAGCAGAGCAACAAACAAGAGCAGCACGTTCAGCTGCTATTTGCCACAAAAAGGATTACGTAAAGAGACTGCATGTCTGTGTGTATATATGTGTGTGTGTGTATACACTATAACATATAAATTTGTGATTTGGTTGTTTGAGAAGAGGACACAAAAGAGATGAAATAACATAAAGAAATACGTTGTCTATTAAAGATTTCTAGGCATCCAACTGCTTGCCGGCAAGCAGTACAAGAAAGCAAATGGGATATGCAATTGCACTGCTTGTAGAGAGGAAGCGAAAATAAAACTACATATATTTAAAGGATGATCATGATTTAATTTGCTTAAACTAAAAATATATTATTAGTATTATTTATTATTATTTTATATTTAAGCATAAATATCATCACTGAAATAGAAGTAAAATTCTTAAGTTTAAACGAAAATAAATTTGCTTAAAATTAATAATAAATTGTAATCCCAAAAGTGAACCCAATATATATGAAAATATACATATATATACAAACACGAGGAAAGATAATTAGAAGAACGGCACACAAATCATTTAAAAATTCATAAGCAATAAAATTCTCATAATTTTAAGCTTGGAAAGCCCTGCGGGTACGCTTAAGGCATATTTATGATACAAAAGTTATTGACTCTAGAGGGAGAGAGAGAAAGAGAGAGAGAGAGAGAGATGCAAAAATATGTTTATTTACAGGTTATTCATCTCAATGTGGACCTTAAATCAAATTAAATGCAGCGCTGTTGCCCCTAAGTCCAGAGCAAATCAGCTATAGGCCAAAAAGTTGGGCTATTAAATTTGTATAAGCTCAGCTCATAAATATGAAAAAAAAAAAATTAAATTTAATATCAAGCACACATACATACGCACGGAAACATACAGATAAAGCCCACACGCACACACACACGCACACAGACAGCAGCAAGTTGAGTGAAATTAAGCGCAAAAGAGCAGTGCAAATGGCTGGAAAACAAGAAGCAGCTAAGTGAAAGCAGACAACAACAACAGCAACAACAACAGCAACTAGAGCAGCGACAGCAGCAGTGAGTAACATTTCTGTGTGTCTGTTTCTTTGACTGACAGTTGTGTCCGTCTGTCTGCCTGTCCGCTTGGCCTTGACGCCAAAAGTCCGGAACTTGTGCGCCTTTCAAATGCTGCAGCCACAAAATGTTTGCGACTCGTGAAATTCTCGGTCGAGGCGCATTTAATTACAAGCATTAAGCTGCTGTCATGTGTGTGCGTGTGTGTATGCGTGTGAGTGCGCGTGTGTGTTAGCCTGAATTGGACTACATGCATATAGCCTTTCGCTTTATTGTTGTTTATCTTGATGCTGGCGGTCTGGCTCTTTTTTTTGTTTTTACACTTTAACTCATATTTATTATCGCGTTGGTTTTTGGTTTCCTGCTTCCCGTGAGTGCCTAAAATGTCCGGAAAATGTGCGCATGTGTGTGTGTGTGTGTGCGCGTGTCCTTTTTGCCCATGCCATGCCGCGCTTGTTTATTATGTGATTATGCTTGAGTTTAGCGCGGGGAGTTTTTTTATTCTTCTTTCATTTTTTTGTTGTTGCTTTTTTTTTTTTTTTTTTTTTTATTTTGAGCTCTATTCCGGATATTTTTGTTTGCTGGCCGGCGGCTGGATTTGTCCTTTTGCCTGTCCTGTTTATGTTTTTAAAGCGCCGACGACCCAAGCGCTCTCACTTGACTATGGCGGCCCATGATTGTTGTTGTTATTGCTGCTGTCAGTCTGTCTGACTTGTAAATTACGTGGGTCAGGGCTAAACAGCCCCCGCCACCCCCGCAGCCACTGCTGCCGCCGACGACATGCTTACAAATTACATTGTTGTTTGTGTTGTCACCTCCCATCACCCTTCTCACTCTCTTTCGCTGACTGACAAGCTACGACCTATGACATTTTTTTTGAAGCACTCCCAAGACTCGAACGGGGCACTCTCGTATTGCAGTTGAAAACATGATAAATTGTGAGAAGGCTTTAAGGCATCCGGTGTCTGTTAACTTAATCATACGGCCGAGAGCTCTGGTTGAGGCCTTAGGTTTTAATTTTCAGAAGCTTTACGCTGGAATTCCTTTTGATTTAGGCTCGCATAGCTGGCGCTGCAGCGCTCGAGGCATGTTAAATGTTTCCAGGCCGAGTTGAATGTTAAATTATTTGACTGTTTGGCGACTAGATTCAATTGAGTGGAAGCGAACGCTTTTAGCTTGAATGGCTCTTGGGTAGGTTCGGCTTTCAGGCACAAATTCCACAAATAATATTGTCAGAGAGCTGTCAAATACACTTCAAGTGTTTCAACTAATGTTGGATTTAATTATATATATGCCGAGAGCTTGACAAACAAATAAACATTATACAGGGGCTGACATGTCTCTTACTGTGTGAGTGTATCTACTATGTGTGTGCGTGCGTGAGCGTGGGTGGGTGTGTGTGTGTGTAGCATTTATTGTGCAACATTTGCTAAAGCAAACAATTACAGCAACAACAGCAGCGGTTAAAAAGCATTTTCAAGTCGAGCACAGCAGGCGAACAGAGATAGAGAAGGAGAAAGAGAGAGAGGGAGAGAGAGAGAGAGAGATTTCGCTTTCCGCATTGTTTGCCGCATAGCTTGACGGAGTTTTTCGCTGCGTACAAAACAGTGCGAGTAATTAACTGACTTGTCACATAAGCCGCATTAACACAATGTCGCAAATGTTGCCGCTGCAGCAGGAGTAGAAGGAGCAGCAGGAGGGGCAGCTGCATGGCATTACGATTACGTTTGTGCCACATGTGGCACATTTACATTGCATATGCAATGTGCCACCCGTTGGCTTATTAATTCTACTCTACTCTCTGGCTGGCTACGTGACACAGCTGACAAAAGTTCTCAAATCCATTTCGAGCGAAGCCCTTTAAGTTCTTTCGCTTTAAGCATTCATAATTGAATAAAAAATTTATAGTTTTTTGTGGCTCCAAAGTCGTGAGGCAGCACTGAATTAAGTTAATTTACAAATTCAGTGCACCGCAAATTATCAACAATATTTTCTGCGGTCGCTCGATTCTGTTTTCTTTTTCTATTTTTGTGCGACGCGTGTGAATTGAGTCGGGCGAGCGCGAAATTGAATCGAATGCCTTTTGATTTAATTTCGCGGCCAGCGGCTAAAGCGATAAGCGGCATGGGAAAGCCGATTGAAAGAAATATTAAATGAAAATTGATGCAAATTTGTGACAAATTGTCGCTTGAATGCGGCGAATTGAAAATCAACGCGAGAGCTGGAGTTTTGTATTTAAAATATATATTTAAAATATATGCATACATTATTTACAATAGTTAATGATTAACTCATTGAGATGTTACTTAAATAAGTTAAGTAGCATTTGGCATATTTTTGCGTCAATATTCGACAATTATTTTTACGGGGCGTATGCTTAATGTGAAGTAAATAAATTGCAAGAAGTTATAGATTTATAAAAAAAAAAAAAAAATTTTAATAAAATTAAGAATAAAAAAAAATAATAATAATAAATAATAATATTAATAACATTAATAATACTAATAATAAATAATATTAATATTAATAATAGTAATAATATATTTTATATTTTTTATATTATATTTTTTTAATG